TTATTTATTTAATTATTTCTGGTGGGTATAGCGGCACACACACATGTAAATCCACTATTCTGAGAGCCTGAGGCAGGAGGACTCTGAGATTGAGCCCAATCTGGACAAATTTACCCAGATCCTGTCTCTCCAAAAAGGGGTAAGGACATACTTCAATGCCAAGTTCATGTACAGCAAAAATAAAAATATTACTTTCCATCGATACACTATAAAACACCACAGTGACATTTGTCTACTGAACCTTGTCTACTTTTTTCTTTTGGCACCGGGGCCTGAACTCTTGCAAGGCAGGTATGGCGCCACTGAGCTAAGTCCCCAGCCCCGTTCTGTCTACTTTTAATAACCTAGATTTTCCTAAAATTGCATGACTCTCATTTTCTTTTTCTGGTACTGGGGATCGAACTCGGGTCCTTGCACTTGCGAAGCAGCCGCCGGAACCACTGAGCTAAATCCCCAGCCCTAAACTATGTGATTTGTTTGTTTGTTTGTTTTTGGTAATGAGGATCAAACTTAGGTCTTTGCTCCTGCAAGGCAAGGGGCAGAACCACTGAGCCAAACCCCCAGCGCCCTCTTTTTTTTTTTTTAATGATTGTCATTTTCTATTAACTATCACTTGGCTCTGCCTCTTGTATTCTCTGCTTTTAAAATTTTGTTCTGAATAACTGTGATGAATATCCCTATTTGGGTTTTTTTCGGTTTTTTGTTTGAGACAGAGTCTCCCTGTGTAGTTCAAATTAGCCTTGAACTCCTTATGTAGCCCAGGCTGGCGTGGACCACAGTGATCCTCCTGCCTCAGCCTCCCAAGGTCTGAGATTATAAGCATGTGCCACCTAGCCAAAATATCCCAATTTTTAAAGACTGTAACATATGATATAGCTCTGCACTTCTTAACCACGTTTATTTTCTCACTTGCTCATTCGTCCACGTTGAGTGGAAATACAAATGAATTCTTTTGACTTCTGATTTCTAGTGCTCTTCATTATGGAGTCAATACCTAGGAAAAATGTTTTCATAATACACAACATTAGGTAAATACTTGCACTTATTTTGTTCTGAAATCTGTCTCCAAAACTGAGGCATGTTAAAAAGTGAATGGCTCTGTGTTTCAATGGAAGGGTCTTTCTGCAAATGTGGCTGCTACTGACCACAGAAGAGCAGGAGCATGTCAGGGACCACACTGCAGAGTCCTGCAGCACCAGCCACCCTCTCCCACAATACACAGGAGTCGGGACTTAGCAAGAGAGGAATGTAACATACTAAGAAAAGTTCCAGCTTGGCTTTAATATAGGCTATAAAATCAAATGTAACACTACAGACAGATCTGTACATATGGACACATAGCCTCTCAGTAATTTAGATTTTCCTATTTATAAGAAAACCAGAACCAAGCATGGTGGCGCTTGCCTCTTAGTCCCCACATTCTGTGAGGCTGAGGCAGGAGGATGGCAAATTGCTGAACAACTTAGCAATGCAGTAAGAGCCTGTCTCAAAATTTAAAAAATTAAAAGGACTATGCATTTCAATGAGAAGGCCCTGCTTCAACTCCCAGCACTAAAAACAAATAACTAAGAAGAAAGTAAGGGCAAAAGGGAGGACAGAGTGGGGGGAGAATTGGGAAGGAGAGAAAACCCAGTCAGGCACAGTGGCACATGATTGTGGTCCCAGCTACTTAGAAGGCTGAAGCAGGAACACTGCTTGAGCCCAGGAGTTCCAAACCAGCCTTGGCAACACAGAAAGACCATATCTCAGAGAAAAGGAAAGTAAGTGCAGAAAACTTCTTGACATGTTTGGAATTGAAGAACTGGCAAGTTACAAACCATTATCCCCACATAAACTTTTCTTTTTTTCTGTACTGAGAATTGAACCCAGGGCCTTGCACATAATAGGCCAAAGCTTTCTACCACTGAGCTACACTCCCAGTCCTTTTTTATTTTCAAACAGTGTCTCACTAAATCACCCACACTAGCCAGGAACAGTAGTGCATGCCTGTAATCCCAGCACTCAAGTGACTAAGGCAGAAGGATCACTGTGAGTCTGAGGATAACCTGGGCTATACAGTAAATTCAAGGCCAGCCTAGATTACACAGCAAGACCTGCCTCAAATAATCAATCAATCAAAAAAATCAATCGATCACCCAGGTTAGCCTCAAACTTGTGATCCTCCTGCCTTGGCCTCTCAAGTAACTGGGATTGCAAGCATGAGCCCTAAACATGGCCCCAAAGATTTTTTTTTTTTTTTTTTGGTACTGGATATCAAACTCAGGACCTTGTGCTTGTGAGGCAGGTGGCAACACCACTGAGCTAAATCCCCAGGCCCCCCAAGAATTTAAGAGAACTCTATCTAAATTTTAAATAGTTTTTTTCTTCTGAAATTTCAGGTCTGTTTTAATTTTCCACAACTGGAGAAACTCAACCAGAAATTCAATGCTGTCCAGAAAAATCCAGTCCTATGCACACTAGTGAGAAATGGCCCTGTGGGTAAGGACTCACTTGTGTAAGGTTGCTTTAACTCCGTAAAAATTACTAAAGTAGGAAATCGGTTTGGTTTTCTTTGAGAAAGGGTCTCAACATGCAGCCCAGGCTGGCCTTGAACTCCTAGGCAATCCTCCAGCCTCAGCCTCCCTGAGTGCTGGGATTACAGACATGCACCACCATGCTCAGCTGAAGGCAGATCTGAGCGCTGATTCCTTATCTATTTCTAGGCAAGATTCTCATGATGAGTTTTCTTTTTCTTCCTTTCTAAAACAGGATCTCCCTGGTAGTCCAGGGTGGCGTTGAACTCACAGCAATCTTCCTGCCAGTCCCCTGAGGGCTGGGATCACAGGTGTGCATTACTATGCTGAGCTAGTGCCCTTTATTTTTAATAGTAGCCAACCCTCCTGAGGATTCTCTTGAGGGTGTATTCATTCCACTCTTCTCCAGGCTGGGAAACAGACAGGACATGAGAAACTCTGAAAGGAGAGCTGAGGAAGGAGAGGGAGCCCTCAGAGAAGAGCCTCAAATGCAAAAGCTGGATTTTCCTGGAAACCCAAGGCACCCAGAAAGAAGCACAGTAGCTGTCCAGAACTGGCACAACTGAAGAGACCTGTCCTTGGGCTTTCACATGCTCATTACTTTCCACTGCTTTACTGCTCAAGAAATCCCAAATATTCCTTAATGTTGACCAAAAGTCTTCTGTCCAACCAGCCTGTTAAGTTTTTCCTCCAGTCACATTTACTTTACTGGAGAAACTCAGCAAATGATTCTCTGTGATCTTTCCCTGATGTTTTCCACTGTGCGGGAAGAAGGGAGTGTGACAATTCTACTGTCAGGGAACAGTGACATCAACCTTGGTCACCGTACTGCTTCTGAAGAGGAAGTTTTCCCCGCACCAAGAGGCCAATTCGTCAGGCTGGTGTCTGCCTCCCACCCCGTCCCGGCCGCTCCCTCGGAGTCTCCGGAGAGGGTGTTACCCAAGGCTGCCCCGCGCCTCGACAGCTCCCCCGGAGTGACTCAGGACTGGGCCCTGCCGTGAGGGGGGAGGACACAGAAGAGGCCCAAAGGACGGGAGAGGACGCCACCAACCCCGGGCCTCGGTGGAGGCCAGGGCCGGCAGCTGGGCGGGAAGGGGCTCTTCCCCCCTGCCCCAGTCTCGAG